ATCAATCGAAATGACTTTGCAAATGAAAAATGACCATCGCTTTTTTTACGTGTGCTATGCAACGAACCGATGAATCGGAAAAGATGAATTCATTGCTTTGGTAGTAAAATTAGAATTTTCTAGCCGCTGTACCCCGTCGGAAATGTTCTTCATTTGCAACACTGATGCGGAAATGTAAGACAGTAATATCAAAATATTGACGGATCATTATTGGCCAAACTCCTTTGAAAAGTTTTCTCGGCATAGTATATTATTTTCTTGACCGGGGGCATTTAAATAGACTACCGCTCCATGGTGTTTGAGCACCTGTACTGTGAGTTTTATCTCGTATGCATTTTCCCTTAGGAACAGGTTCATACCCATCACGTACGATGTTTCAGGAGCTAGTGCATTTCTCTGAAGAGTAGAGCATTATCGTCGCTTGTAAGCAGCAAGATTTGGCCGTTCTATTCGCATTGACGAACCACACTCACCAAACGATTAACTGATTGCTGCTATTCGATATATCGGACAGTCAGAGACAAGAAATGCCATATCTGAAATAGTATATGTACGTAAGTCAGGGATTCAGATTTTGTTATAGCAAGCGCTGAAAAGTTCTTATTAGAACCCACAGTCTACAATGCTATGGAATATCCAATCAGAGTAAAGGGTGTTCCATAAAGGAGTTGTGACTCAAACAGTGTTGTATTGAGGCGAATGTTCAGTCAAGTAAATAAAACGCGAACAACAGCTGAAATTCCTCGAAATGTCTGTGTACAGATGGATGCAGGGTGTCAACAAGAAGAATGACACAGTGAACGTTGAATAGGCACTATGTTTTTCAAAGACATGCAGTGGAATGACAACAGCCTTCTTTTCTCAACCGAGTTCAGTTCGCGGTCGATTACCACAACAATAAATATATAGCCGTAGAGCATAGGCATATTTGTAGTATCGTTGTATGTCGTACTTCGTTGGGTAAGGTACTTTGGTTTATTTTCTTACGAAGCGTTCAGGTAATTTTTTGCTTCAGCTCGAATGGATACTGAGAATGAAGATGAAGAGTACTTTTCTGGATCGAATGATTTCGTGAAGGTGGTAGTTCGTGTGCGGCCAGTCGATTCTAGCGTTGACCCCTCGTCTCAGATTTGCGTCAACGTCCTTGACCGTGAAAGTCTTACATTGCCGACCCGACCGGCAATTCAAACGTTCACCTTTGATCACGTAGCTAATCAAGATGCTACTCAGGCATGTCGTTTTTTTCTCTGTCTTGTTCTGTTTCAATCTTTTACTATCTACTTTTAAAATCTGTTACTTTACCATCGCTTATATTTAGGAGTCAATTTTTACTTCGTGCGCAAAGACCATTATTAAAGGTTGTGTTGAAGGCTATAACGGCACCATATTCGCATAGTAAGTTGAACGGATATCAAAGAAAACCAGTTTTTAAACACCCTTCGTTTGGTTTCTTTGAAAATGTGGCATTAGCTTACTTGTTAAGCTGTTGTAAGTTTATACCGCTGAGTGAACTTGAACATCAGATAAGATATTTAACATAGTTCACATGGTTCATGATGATCATTAACGCCTTTATCGATCCACTGTTTGGTGAAGGTCATTTCAAGACCTTGTCATATACTTTTGTTTTTCCATTTTGATATGGTCTGGATATGTGCTGCATTCATTCACCTCGGTACCTTCATCCATTGGCATTAAACAGTCGCTTGGATGAGACCAGTCACAGCGCTGCCTTCCTTTACCAATTGGTCCTTGTAAGTCCTATTCTGTATTTTAACATATCGACAAAACTGTCTTTTAGCATCTCACTGATGGTATCACTTAGAGATAGCTGTCGTTCGTTAGGCCAGAGAAAATCAGTATAAGACATCTGTTTGCTTCTCAAACCCATGTCAGTACCATACCGTTGATGACTAAAAGCGGATACATAATGTCATAACATGGTTGACATAGCGAAGTAGATTCACTGATTCGCGTCGGTTATCATCAGGGAATGAAATCGAATGATTATTTCCTGGCGGTGAATAAGGCCAATTCCGTCTAACCGTTGCACAGCTGTTACTTTATGAATTTTCTCTTGTTTTAACTAGCGTGACCAACTCTTTGATTCAACTGTCTTTGCGTTTTAAGGTCTTTTGTGAAATCTTCTGCCACTCCTCGCATTTTCGTATTATTATTTGCACTATTAGGCCATTTTTTCAATGATCTCTTTTGTTACTTCCCTGGCAGTATCAGTGTTTGGACCACAATCCTAACATACTTATTGGGTTTTCTTTTCGCTTGACCTAACCAACTGAGTCTACTTTCGATAAGCTTTTCTGAAATTGGTGCCACATTTCGTGTGCCTCTGTTATGAAGCTGTTGGAAGTGGTTCTTTCGGCTGACCCCGCACATCCATCTGAACATTCGCATTTCTCCAACTTGAGCTGTTGCTTGTGTCTGCGCGCCAAACGTTGTCCATGGAGAGAAGTTCCGTCTTGCTATTCTCCTGTGCACTTTTTGTTTTAACTTCATTGCCTTGAAGGGTAGAACCAATTTTGGTGAATTTTTGGGTTGTAGCAGCATACGCTACACTACTTTTACTCATTTGTTGGTTTTTTCTATGTTCTCGATACTGGAATAGCCATCCATGTATTCTGAAATGCCTTTGCTGAGCTGAAGGCCGTTTTGCTCAAGGACTGTGCTCCGTATCTCGGATTTTGCTTCCACTGTTTCTGTCCTTTCACTGTTCAGT